TACTCGTTCTGATACCAAGTCAGCGACTGCTTTAGAATGATCCCGATTCCTTATTTGCAATCCGATTCGGAGTTTACGCTGGCTAGACCAGGTCTAACCTACGACTGGGATTAAAACGCGTATAATTCGACGGCTGGAACTGATCCTAATACTCTAGCATCCGTGCCAAATTATCAGTTCCGGGGTCAGGTAGCCATCCTGTTTTTTTGTTTAAATTGCTGCATACCCAAGTTGACTGCCATATGCTTTTATCGCAAATAAATGTCAAGGTACCTAGGTTCCACACATATTAAAACTTCACATTTTACTGTAGCACAGCAAGAACAAATCTTATATTGAAGTCTACAATAAAAAAGGCTTTGTGGATTATGTCCTCAATTATTGTTATCATTATTACTTTTATATTTCCACGGATGACCTCTACCATATATCCCCAAGATGAATCGCTCAAGATCAAACTTCAATCTGAGTCGACATCCAGCACCCACGCAGTTCCAGGAGGATGCCAGGCGCTAACTTATGTCCATTGTGCAAAAGTACCTACGTATTGGCGTCTTCATGAGATGAAGTAGAGTAATCCATATTAGTCTGTCATCTCCTGAAGTAGAGTGATGCAGTTCTGGTGTTTGGAAATAGTGTTTGTTTTGGATTTACTCAACGCCAGAGGTTCCGGTTCTACTTTTCATTAACAAATTAATAGTTGAATTTACTAATAAAGAGTTTATACTTTATTTCCTTCTAAAACAGTCTAATGGGTGTTGAAATAAGTATGTTTCATCACATTATTGATAGAATTAATTGCATAAGGAATGAATTGGAAGTTTTCTTAAAACATCGGCTCTTGCTGTAGATAGATAGAAGAATAGTTCATTTCCATTGTTCAAACGTGGTTCATAAGATCACAGTTAGAAAAATAACTCTGGACACTCGATGACATGGTTTATAAGTTTGTAGAGAAATGAACTTGAATGGTAGGTTCTACGGTTTTCTAATGATTAGAAAGATCATTTTCAATGCATCGTTTTGCATAAACTGTTATCAATTTCGTAAATGGCATATTTCAAAAGTTGTTGCTGGACAGATTTATGTAAGACTATATATCAGAAACCAGATCAGAGAGCCATACTCCAATTGTTATCTTACATAAGAATGAAATTGAACTAAGAACAACTTCAGAAAATCAATCCCAAATTTTTTCACTGTCTATATAGTTTTGCCCTAAATACATTGAAAAGCTTGGTTTTGACTAAAAATATATACCAAGAAATGATTCAACTCTTCTTGCTCAATAATTGCTATCCACAAGTATAGTTTAAAATTTAAATTCAAAATAATGCAGCTTTTTGCATTTTTCCATTCATTCTGCTGGACATTTCGTAGCTTTGTTTTCAGATATAATGTTCTGGTTCAACGGACTGGGCAAAATGAATTATCTAACCCAGTTCTACATAGCTGGTGAGGTTCTAGTTGACAAATGTCTTGAAATTCATTACCATCGTAAATTCTGGTAAATATTGATCCTATGTTCGGTGCTCGGCATCAGCGAACTGGGCTATCATGGTTTAAATACTTTGTTGGTTCTCTCAACAGGGTTACATTATGCTGAGTATGGCGACGTGGTCCAATGTTCGATGTCATATTGATCAAACAATTCTGTGAACTCTTTTCCCAGGAACTGTTTACTTTATAAGTGAATACCAATTTTTAAACATCCAATACATGGATGTTTTGAAGTATTCAAGTAACACTTTCCGAAAGGAAGTTGTTGAATAAAATATGTTTTCTGTATTAGGTACCCTGTAGTAAGAGTAATTTAAGATTGACTTAGTTTAAATTTAATTTAAATTGAAAGGGTATATTTTTAGGAGATTTCGGGAAAAAGTTTTTGGCCTTCTATTTCTCCATCATGATACAAAAAATGTGGGAATCTTTCAAAGAAGGGAAGGAAGCAATCAATTTCAAAACTCAACTCTATACAAAGATGTGTAGATCATGCAAAGAAGTAACTTTCAGTCACAAACTGGAAGAAAAATTCCTTCAGAAATAGCTATTTTCATATAAACTTTGAATTACACGAAAGAAAATCACTTTCGAAACAAATACTTTTATATGAACGCTGAATTATATGAAAAACACTTTTCTCTATTCCGTTCGTATATCAAACATTCGTATGGAATCGAATCAGATATCATTCATAGGATTCTTACACAATATAATTAATGAAAGAAGTAAAATTTCACTTACATGGAACACTGTAATCCTCACTGCTAGACATCCGATAGGACCCTTTTCTATGAGAAATGATTTTCAACCAGCTGAATATTTGAGTCAAATCATGATTCAATAGTGTAAATTCGTGAATATTTGTACTGAATTGTTTTTTGAGTAAAATTATTTTTTAGTGGCACCTTGTGAATATAGTTATGCTGTGAATATTGAGTAGCATTGTTAAGTTGTTCTGCAATTACCCTCTCAATTTCAAGCAGAATAATGGAGAACTATGCTGCTGTGAAGCAGAATGATATTTCGAATTTGACGATATAAATTAATTTAGACCATAGTACAGTTCACTTCTTGGTCTATTAATGATTATCATCATTAGTTTTTGATTATGTCATAATCGCACCACATTCAGTGTACAAAACCTATGCACAAATAAACCCTCGATATATGGGCGAGTTCTTAGTGGGGGTACCTATTTATACTCAGCACACTTGCTGTACTTTTCCAACAAATTTAATTGTCAATATTGCGTTTGAGGTATTAGAATGTCACAAAGTATATTTCATCGCAAGTCGGCAGGTAATTACGATCAAACATAAGAAAAATGACAATGATAAAAGCTAAACTGGATAATAAATTTGATCCACTTCAGTCAAACATACAGTTTGTTCAAACAAATGTTGAAGTGATCACTGAGCAAATATTTCTTATAGATGAAAGGTTGGACCACAATACGTCGGAAGATGAAATCTAGGTTTTTACGGAATAGATCAAGTAAACCAAATGATACCATCTCTTCATATTGAAAATATTTTTAATAATGAGTTGAAAATTGAAAATATTAATACCATGGATGTCGAGTGTGCCAAAAAGTTCTCAGAAAGTGCACCTTATGTCAAATTTGCGAATTATAATGTCAATAAAAGCACTTGCAATGCTGAAAAACTACTTGAAGGATCCAAAATCGAATTCAGAGAAGATCTCACATCTGCCCCCCTCAGTATGGCTCTGACAATGTGTGGACGATGAAAGGAAATACCAACATTTCTGAAAAGAGCAAAGCTGTGAAACCCACTAACCGGGAACGTCAAATTCAAACTGAAAAACACTCCAGCCAACGTGTAGAATAACTTTCTTCCGTATTGAATATTACTGGAGTTTTTTCCCAACACCAAATCGTTATTTTTAACACCTCGACACGTGTTTCGATCACCAAGTGATCATCTTCAAAAAGGAATATTAAAACTGTTTTTATCTTCCTCTTTGAAGATGATCACTTGGTGATCGAAACACGTGTCGAGGTGTTAAAAATAACGATTTGGTGTTGGGAAAAAACTCCAGTAATATTCATTACTACACCAAAGATTCCAAACAGTTCTTCAGTATTGTTCAATCATTGGTATACTTATACCTAATAATTTTTGCTCAACTCTTTTCGGGTTTAAACAATGAGTTTTATTTTGTTCTACTTCACCTACTTATCATTGATGCTTATTGTTTTCTGTTTATTTATTTGAATTATTGCTTGTTTCTAATGGTTAAATTATCAACAATATATTACAATTTTTTTCTGGAAAATTAGGTTTTTTGCACTATATTCTAGGCATACTTTATACACTCAGCTCAAATGAATGATAACTGTTGCTTCCCAGAACTGGGATAGAGAGAATTTATTGACCACCTAACACAAAGGGGAGCTGATTGCATTGAGGCTCTCGAGGATACTATTTCGTTGGCATTACCACATGTGGATGAAATCATACTAGCACTACTAGCAGGAGAAATCAATTTAATTAAAACTACAAACAAAAATACGGCTGATTTCTTTGATTGTTTGAAATCCTTTGGTCTCACTATATGAATAGTTCCCCAAGAAAGGTGAATATTTTCGTCAGTATGTAAAAAATTTCTCATATTTCCAGTTAACGAAATCAACAGATCAGTCAATGACCTCAGGCCTATTGATATTTCACCAACAATTTCGGAACTTCTGGAAAACAGAAAGCATCACTCATAAAATTTTGCACAGCTTGTCAAATCTAGGAAGAGACTTGAGAATTCTCTCTTTTTCTCTCGCTCTCATGGTCTTCTAACGAACGCACATCTAGTGGGCGGGACCATAACGGAATTCAGAAAACTCTTCCTACATTTGACAAACTGTACATAGACTCCTGGACAATAACTCTTGAGTATATCATGAATAAACTTGTACCCAGACACCTCATACATGACCAACATATTCGTTTTATTGATCTCACAATTACTGAAAAATTCTTTAAAATTATATGGACGTTAATTTTTTTACTAGGCAGCAACTCTATTCAATACTCAATTTCATTATATTAAAATAAAATAATTTTTTTTGATGAAAATCAAATAAAATAAATTATTATTTTCAGCAGATAGTGAAATTAGTCTAATATGCTATCCTTCGTATATATTGTTCTCTTTTTTATTGTAATTTGGTTTACCTAGCAATAAGATTTTTGACAAATACTCTTGTCAAGTTTGTTCTTGGTTTAGTAAAAAAATAGCCATGCTAATAAACTCCACCAAGTACATAAAAACCCTTTATAAATTTGAAAATAAAGAAAAAATCCCTCTTGAAAACTCAGTCAGACGACATTGCATTGGTGAGATTTATTCGTTTTACGAAAATACTGTCGTCAATTTTCAACAAAAAAAAACCCATTGTTCATTTCAATATTAAAACAAAACCATGCACAGAAACCTTTATTTTTCTTTCGAGTTAACCTTTCTGAACAGTTGAAAAATGAAGGAAAATACACAATCTCAGTGTGTTCGAAAATGTCTTTTCAAATGACTCCTTCTAATGAATCCCTTGTCACAACTTGTGCATTTATAGGGCCTTTCACCAGTATGCAAAAGTACATGTTTCCTCAATGAACCAGATGTTCTAAAAGCTTTATCACATTGTGTACACTGAAAAGGCTTGATACCTTTATGTATATTCAAATGGTGATTTAAAGATCTTTGTATGGTAAACCTGCTCCCGCAAATATGACATTCATAAGGCTTTTCTCCACTATGCATCAGAAGATGAGTTTTTAGATATGAAACTGAGTGCAGCTGTTTTCCACAATGTGAACATACACACTTTTTATCATCAGTATTTCGTTTACCTTTTTTGCCAGTCAAGTAGTAATTAAGATGTTTCTTCAAGTAATCTTTGTTTGAAAAGTATTTTCCACAATGGAAGCAAAGGTAAGGAGATGATCCATCATGATTTTTAATATGCTCTGTTAATATTTCCTTACGGGTAAATGTCTTACCACACAAGTTACACTGGAAAGGCCTTTCTTTCGTGTGAACTAAATTGTGCCGTGTTAGAGAATGTCGTTGGGTAAAACCTCTTCCACAAATATTGCAAATGAAGGGCTTCACTGTTGCATGTATGGCCATGTGATTTTTGAGATATCCTCTTCTTCGAAATACTTTGCCACAAAGATTACACAAACATATTTCAATTCGTTTTTTGGTTTTGTGTTCAATCTCTTTTTCTTCAGAAGGATTTTCTTCAGTTTCTAAAGATGTTTCTTTGATTTCCGTTTCAGTTTCCACAGTACTGACGTCAGCTCTCTCGTGTTCAGTAATAATTGATTCAAAATCTGTAACGTTTGAATGGTGTTTCTGAATATGTTCAACGAGCTGATCTTTCCTTCTACCCACTTTTCCACATAAATTGCATTCAAATGGTTTCTCACCTATCAAATTGAAAAATTGAATTATCTGTGAAGTTACCTCTTAGGTTAGATATGTACAATACATACTTATTCCAGATTGCCAACTCTTTTAACATATATAATCTGTTGAAATGTGCATAACCCTTGCCACTCTTTTGGAACAGTAACATCTGATTTAGAAATGTTTGTTCTTAGTTGAATTACAGCATCTCATTGTATCTCATTGGTAAAATTAGGGCCCCCGCGCACTGGCAACTTTGTCAAAGCAATTGTTCGGTTGCTTTAAAGAAATATAAATGATGCACACGGTATTGGATGCAGCCCCGCGCACGGGAGACTTTTAAGTTGCCGTGACTAATAATTGCGTCTAGAACTATTCCAAGGGTGACTAAACAGTTGCCGGCAGAAATGAGCAACGTGAATTTCTTCGTAACCTCGCCACAGCATTGTGACCTCGCGCACTGTCAACTATTCAGTTGCTAGACGGCCTTGGTCTGGAGTATATGTGCATTTCCTATTTTTCAAAGCAATGACGACAGTATTGTTGAAACGTTTATTTTGGCAATCGAGAAGCGGCCAGCGTTGTACAATACGCATCTAAAGGAGTATGCTGATAAAATTAAAAAAAAATTGGTTTATTTTAAGAAGTTCTAAAACAATTTTTCATTTACTAAAAATGCCATTTGCGAATTAAATACTAATAAATCGTTTTTATTTGTACTTTGTGATTTAGTTTGCAATAAATTATCAATGTTTGGTAGTGTTAATTAATGTTTTCTTTCTTGAGGTGGTACAGCCTATCATAATGATGTATTTCGGTAAGTAATACGTGTGCCAACAGAAATCAATAGACGATCAAAAGATTCTATGCTCATTCTAAAATAATTGAAGAACTTGTTTGGATGTTCTTTCAATCTGTCGAAGAGCTTATAAAATTTCCCGTCAAGAAGTCGTGAACTAATTAATGGATGTACCCAAAACGTTTTGTTCCTTTGCTTAATTTTTCGCTGCCTCAGAATAAGCGCAACAGCACAGGCGGCTTCCACGATATCCATTGTACACTGAGCTGAGAGGCAACTATTTTAGTAGCGAGCGCGGTGGTGGACAAATCATGGGTGAGTAAACTGTTTAGTTGCTGGTGATTAAAATTTTCAGTGCGCGGGGGCCCTTTTACTGACAAGTTTATGCACCCGCCAGTCAGTATTGACAATTGTAACCGCGAAAATATGGATTAGTTCTTACGCAATTAATATAGATTATTGTAGGAGAGCAATATTAGCACATTACGAAAAATACTTATAATTATTTTAAAAAGGGCTGAGTTTTTATCCAATCTGATCTCATTATTTATAATGCGGTAAATAAGCAAGTACCGCTTCTAGCAATCAATGGAATGCGTCCACCTGCATAGACTCCTGAACGTTTGAATCGATATATCATCATAGACGGTTTTACCGAATAGTTCCATCTTTTTATCCAATTTTCCTGGACTACAGTGTGTTGTGCCCATTTTACCTAGATTACAGTATTTATATGCTGACAGTGATTTTATTCCGAATGTTATCTTCAATGATGATGACTGAATTTAATACAAACTTGTTTAGACATATTTTTATCCATAAATTAGAATTGCTCACTTATATTTTATTCAGTGTCACAAAGAATTTCCATATAAATTCAATGATTTGTAGACTTAAGCTTAGTTCAGTTCCAAACAATTGTGAAGTTGTTGCCTGTTATTTATTAAATAAAACAAAACAGTGAAAATGTATTATTTTTTGTTTGTGGGTATTATAGATAATACAGGAGTAATTCAATGAAGCTGTTCTCACCACTCGGAGAGGCTTGAAAGGACCAACAATCTCTTGAGGCATAACGTCACTAATGATCGAGAAATAATGAATCTTTTGAAGGCAAATGAACAACGATGAAAATGATGTAAGTCACAAAAGAAAGTGGTAATGCTCCAGAAACTTCATCGTGTTTATTTAGGAAATTACCGAGCGCTTTAGTCAAATCACAACAGCGACAGCAATGAACAAGTGAAATGATATTGAAGTACAAAAGTTTGAAATTGCATTTTTGAGTCTTCGGATGATAAAATTATTAATAGATTAAGTTTGCCACTCAACTTATTAGAGAATCTACAGAAGTAACATAAGCAGCGACAGCCTCGAATTCTTGATATCAGTGAAAGAAAAAAAGAATTGAAAAAGAAGAACGGTAGGAGCGTGAAAGGAAAACAAAGAGAGCAATGAAGAAAAAGAAAGAGATGGAAAAGAAAAAACACGCGACGATCTTTAAGCCACTAGAATAAGGGTGAGAACAAGAGTCATTGCGAAAATAACTAGAACAACATGAAATGGAATGGAAAGAAAAGTAAGAGTATGAAATGAATAGAAAACAAGAAATAAAAGAGAAAGGAAAACGTCAAGAACATTAAAAAAGGATACAAATAGATATTGATGATAGACTAGAGCAACAAGAAATCACAAAAATGAATCAAGGGATGAACAAGAACGGAGAAGGAAAGATACCTATAGGAATAGAAGAAAAAAATTAGTCTGAAATAACAGAGTGAATGATGAAATATTTGAGGTTCGAAATAAAGTCATATAATTTCGAGGTGAAGTTGAAGAAGTTCGAGATGAAGTGCTGACTTACAGCAGCTGAGTACAATGAATTGAAAATGTAATCGGAAAAATCCATGACCGAAAGAGATGGTCAATAAATTCAAGTGAAAAAAATTAAATGAAAACTAGGGACCACCTACACCTCTTATAACAAGGACAGTCTTGAAGCCTCCACCTTTCCATGAACAGGCATCATGAGTCGTGTACCATCGACAAGGCTAACGCCTTGTCACAAGAGAAAAGAGATAATGCACACGTTGTAGCACTTCGATTATAAAGTACCATAAATACTGCATAACATTTCACAAAATCAGCCAAAACGAATATCAATGGATTGCGGAAGCTCTTGAAATGAGAGGCAAGAAGATCAGAGCCATATCAGCTCTCATATCAACAACCGAAGGAGATTTTTCAGGAGTGTGGCAGTCATCGAAATACCAATTAGTTCGGCTTACCCCAAGTCACGAAACGGACTTGGGGTAGGAACGGACTAATAATTATCCGTGCGCTCGTGCATATAGGGAAACCTACACCAATAACTGTTCCGAAAGCCACAGAGAACAATATTGGGACTCTGCGAGCCTACACGTGTGGTAACCAACTGTGATAAGTATGTATTGACCAGAATTGTCAATACTCACGAAGCTCGTCCGATGCAATTGGTTTTCTATAATGGACCTAAAGAGCAATACGAAGTCCACGCTAACGTCAAGAAAGAGACCGTATTTTCTGCTGAAAGTAGACAGTACCAGTTCAGACTCCTTTTCTTCGGATTGTGAGGTGCTTCAGCCGATTTTGAAAGGTTTATGGGACTGGTTCATGGAAGACTTGCCTTGTCTATCTGAATGACGTAATTGACCATATTCACGTAATAATGGTTACACATACGAGGTCCTCCTAAAAAAGAGATTGCAGCCTTAAAGAGCTTGAACTCTGATGAGAGCATCACGATACTTCCTGCAAACAAAGGAAATGCCATGGTGATTCTAGATCCGGCAAACTATCGCAAACTTTAACGGGACCCAACGCAATCTAAGTTAAGGAACGTGAACAAAATCATTAGATCTTCCTCACTGTCGGAAACCCCACAGAAAGTCATTCTTAGAACTGAAGCTGTTCCACCTAGGCTCTACGGGCTTCCGAAAATACACAAAACCAACATGCCACTGAGACCGATAGTCAGTACCCCGGGCTCTCCGACCTACCACTTGGCGAGACATCTGGCCTCGCTTCCACAACCTCATGTGGGAAAGATCAACTCCTACGTTAAGGACTCGACAGACTTCGTTGGTAAAATTAGGGGCTTAACGCTGGAGCCGACGGATATTCTGGTCAGCTTCGATGTAGTGCCCTTGATTACCAATGTCCCACTGGAAGACTCTCTGAGGGGGATAGTCCACGTGTTCCTGAATGACGTCGTCGAACTCTTTAGAGCATGTCTCACAGGAAGTTACTTTCAATGGAGGGGAAACTTCTATGAGCAACTAGATGGCGTTGCGATGGGGAGTCCACTTAGCCCAGTGATAGCAAATTATTTCATGAAACGGTTTGAAGGAAAAGCGATACACGTTTGAATTGAAGCCGACCCTGTGGCTACGTTACGTGGATGACACCTTCGTCATCTGGAAACATGGAAGAGACGCCCTGAACCGTTTCCTAAACCACTTGAACGCCCAACACCCTAGCATAAAATTCACAATGGAGATTGAGCAGGACCAACGGATAGCTTTTCTAGATGTACTAGTAGAACGATGTGGTACCATAATAACCCACAAAGTGTATCGAAACCCCACACACACAGATAGATACTTGCACGCACTATCGAACCATCATCCTAGCCATAAGAGAGGAGTCATCTCCACTCTAACGGAACCGGCTCGGAGAATATGTGAACCAGGACATCTGGAGAGGGAACTGAAATACCTTGAAGTGACCTTGAGATCGAATTGATACAGTACCTCCGAGATCAGGAAAGGCATGAAACCGAAGAGCACCACGGTTCAAAAAGCGAAAAAGGATCAGATATAACAAAGCCTCAGGTCGGCTAAAGACAAAAAGAACCCATTATCAGCAGCAGGGGTCTATTGCATACCGTGCACTTGTGGGAAGGTATATATCGGAACCACCAAACGATCCATGGGAACACGACTGAAAGAGCATAAAAGGAACTGCAGACTAGGCTAAGCGGACAAGTCAGCTGCGGCAGAACACGCGCTTAGTGAAGGAGACCACATAATTTTGTTTGAAAACACAGAACTAATTGCCCCCAACCAGGGATACTATAGCCGACTGGTACGGGAGTCAATAGAAATCCACAAACACATGGAGAATTTCAACAGAAAAGAAGAAGCGAACCTCAATCGAATATGGAACCCGATTTTGAGCAAT